ACTATCAACAATGGCCAAAGTATGGAAAGAGCCCAAATGTTCATCGATGGATAAATGGGTAAAGAAGATGTGGTATAGAAAGAGGAGGAGCCAAGATGGTGGAACAGCATGGAAATTTTTTGTGTGTCTCACGTCCATGAAATACAGCCAGACCAACACTAAACCATCCTACACACCTAGAAAACTGATTGGAGGATTAACACAACAATCTGCACAACCTGAGCCACAGAATTCAGCAGGTATGCGGCGCGGAATGGTAAATTTGGAGAGCAAGAAGCAGCGGAGGGTAGGGAACCACTTTTGTGGGCGGAGAGACGACTGAGACTGGGGAGCAGGGTGGAGAATACGGGAAAGCACCCCTCCCCAAAAGCAGCTGGAGACAAAGTGGAAAATTGGAAATAGCCACAGGGACTAAACCAAAAAGGGATAAAGGAGAAAGGGGAGGGTTTAAATTCCATTAAGACTGTAAACAAGGGGAGCACAAAGGCTGCAACCCCGCAGCTCGATACCTGGCGGTGGGAAGGGCAAATCCCCAGGAGCAGAGTGGGGTCCGGGAGGTTCTTGAGCCACACGGGGAAAAGTGGTTCCACTGCTGGAAGGACATTTGATAAAGACTGTTGAAGCCACCTGGTCCCAGCAGACCCCAGAAGACGGCCACATTTGCTGGTGCTCGGGCAAGGTTGGCAAGGGTGAAGCCAGGTACCAGATGTGTGCTGTGATTTTCCATAATCCCTGAAATGCTGCTGCTACACTGTCTCACAAGCTTTTTCTGGGGCGGGCTGGCACCTGGCTGCAGTCTCCAGGCACCGGCAGCAGCAGGGTCCAGCAAGCGTTCCTGGATGCAGCCGACATTCCGCCATTGCTCATTCGGCCATTGCTCGGTGAGACCCTCCCACAGAGGGGTGGAATGGGTCAAAGCCGCAGTCCTTCGGAAATAAGGGGCCAGGAAAAACAGCCACATCTGAGACAAAACTCGTTAGAGAAGTACTGCCTGGGGCCTGGTCACGGAGAGTGAAAAAGCAGGGAGTGGACGATAGCTGAACACAGAGGATGGGTGTCCAGGGCACATGGACCATTCTCCAGAATAGACCATATACTAGGACACAAAGCCCTAAGTAAATACAAAAAGATCGAGATCATAACGTGCATATTTTCAGACCACAACGCTATGAAACTCGAAATCAGCCACAAGAAAAATTGTGGAAAGGTAACAAATACTTGGAGACTGAAGAACATCCTACTAAAGAATGATTGGGCTAACCAAGCAGTTAAAGAGGAAATTAAAAAGTATATGGAAGTCAATGAAAATGATACCACCACCACCCAAAACCTCTGGGACGCAGCAAAGGCAGTTATAAGAGGAAAGTATATAGCAATCCAGGCCTTCCTAAAGAAGGAAGAAAGATCTCAGATATACAGCCTAACCTGACACCTTAAGGAGCTAGAAAAAGAACAGCAAATAAAACCCAAAACCAGCAGAAGACAGGAAATAATAAAGATTAGAGCAGAAATTAATGCTATCAAAACCAAA